TGTGAAGTTGACATAGTAGCATGAATGAATAGCATCGTAGTAGCAAGAGAGCGTGTGCATAGTTGTCGTAAGTCCATGGTTCGTCAGTACGCGAGATACTACCCGGTTGCCTAGGCCGAGGTAGGTAGGTTGTCTTAGGGGACTACCGCCTCAAGCTTTTGGCCAAAGGGCTTAACCCGCAAAGCAGCAGAGTGAGATGAGGGATTCGCACCCGTTGGAGGCCAGTGACTGGACACAGCTCATACGCCTTTCGGATGACGATAAGCCATGCCAGGGGCCCAACACTTCCGGAGTCAGAGACAAGATCCGATGCTCGGATTGCTTGCCGGTGTGCAATGTCTCCGAAGGAGACAAGCGGCAGTAACTATTTAGCGGATAGTCACATTCGTCATGTCGCAGTGTTGTGGCTTTTTATAAGGAGAACGCTTACCAGGCGAAAACTCACCACTTCCTGGAACACTGCCACCGAACCGTTCGCTGAGCCATGACTGAAGTGGTAAAAACGTGGGGCGATAATCATACTGAGACCAGAGATGAAATCGACTCTGCAAACATTGATACCAGGGCAATAGAAAGCGGCATTGATGCAGCGGGAAATGTCTGTAATGCTGGAGCAGAGGATGCACTCGAATTTGAAGAACTGGAAAGACGTACCTGGCGCGATGACATGCACCCCAACCGATTTTACAGATGTCCATATGTGGCCTGTTAAGATCGGCCATTAGATTCGCACTATGCTTATCCGGTTATGATCTACTGCTGTACAGCACCTCGATCATAAATTTTAAAAAAATGCTCGGCCTGGAACGAATAAATAAAGTCCAAAGGGGCAAGCGATCAACGAACTGGTTTTTTGGGATTTACGAGACGGAGAGCGAAGATTGTAAACTTTTTCTAAACTGGTCCTATTTTTCTGCGGCTGCATAATGTTTTCATCGGGATAGTCTGTTTTTCGACTGCTGTAGGTTTCAGAAACCGGTGGAAATTAAATCCAAAAGTATAGGAACACGCGCCTGTGGAGTAGTCGAACAGACGCTGTAAATTTTGGGGTGAAGCAATACCCGAAAATCGTCACTGTTCTGGTACAATTCACAGAATGAAGAGTGCAACCACAAGATGCATCTTTAATTCTCATTTCAGTCCTGTTGTTTTCATTTATTTCGTTTCTGAGCTTTGTAGATCTGTTCTCACAGAAATGAGTGATGCGTAGAAATGTCTTCAAACAAAAAGGCTGGATCTGCAGCAAAGTTATCTGAAGCTTGCAATGTTAAGCATTTGTCTTCTTCAGAATAGAGAGAAAATGGTGGGTAGTATAATGGCTAAATCAAAAACTGCTCTGAATTAAAGGTAAGCATGAAACGTCAAATCCGCCAAAAGGAACGAATAGATAGTGAGGCATTGTGTGATGCTGATCATAGACGGGAAATGCTGTCATACACAGGTTAATTAGCGAAATGTATCCCAGATTTCGGCAAATTCATTTCCTTGCAAAATAATGTGCACTGTCAAATCTGCTTGATGATAACTACGATAGTATGCTATAGCTGAGTTAAGGAAGATATAGAAAATAGGAATTCTGTCGAAAAAATGCGGTTTTTTATGAAAGCTTTAGAAAACAGCAGAATCAATGGACCTTTCGAGCTTCATACAGAAATATCACTGCATATCGATGCGCATCTTTCATACCCGAGCTACTGGCATTGCAAGCTGTGAGCGCGCTTGCTCAAAACCCAAGCTTACAAAAACCTACAAGCGATCAGCATTGAACAAGATAATGCTCACAGACTTGGCAGTTTTCGAAACGTTTGCTGCAAGTGAAGCACGAGACGTGTTTGTGATTTGTGCACGCGAGTGTTGTAACAATACAAATACCTGTGTTTGCAGCAGCACGCTGAAATTAGATTTTTGCTTTTTGTTATATGAAACGAAATATTGAAAGGCTGTTCGCCGTCGTGAGGGCTTACGGATTTACAACTGCCAGGAGGGGGGTGGGCGAGAGTAGGTGCTACGCCACACTTCTAGAGTACATCTTTTCTAAGCACACGGTTCTAAACTCCACAGAGTCGAAGACTCCTTCGGTATCTAGGATCACGACTAGAGTGGATCACTAATAAATTTGACGGTGCTTTAACAACTTATATAAGGCAAAATTAGCAGCTTCTCCATTTCTGTTAAGCCGGCTTGATCTTCACGAATCTGGCCCTCATAATCGCCAGTTAATCTTTTAATAACAACAGAGATAAGGAACTTAGAGGCAATGGGAATCAGACTGATGCCTCCATAATTACTGCATTCCGAAAGCGAGCCCACATCGAAAATCTGGACAACAGTGGAACAGCTTCGACCGACAGGGTTTATTCTGTTAGCTAACCGAGTGCAGAAGAGAAGCACCTCCACCGCGCAATGCAGTGCACTTAAAGGTCGCTTGTTTGCCTACCCTGAGGTGTCCAGGTACTGGGTGGTTTCCTTGAGCTTCCACTAGCGCAATTTAGACATGGAAGATAGTTCCTTACTTATCGTAGCGTCGTTCAGCGTAGGAGTCTGAGAACCGACTTAGCGCGATGGCCTACCATACAGGTCCAGTGCATCTGGAACACCATGGTGTTATTTCGACCGATTTGACGCAGTGATCTAAGTACGGTTCTTGTAAGTGCAATTCAGCCTATTTGGTGTAATCAAAATTATTATCTGGGTCGCCTGAACCTGTGACGGAGGTTGATGTAACAAATCTCATTGCCGACAGTATCCGACGAGCTAGTATTGCTGAGAATGAGTAACGCATCCGGTCCATACAACTTTTCATCTTGGCAGAAGCGTTTTTGTGTTGTTTACCTCTGGGTTTTGGAGTACCCGTCGTGTGTCTTAGATTGCGACATGCAATCTCAATTATGGCTTCCGTTGATTATGAAGTCAGCCTCTGCCGTTACGGTCACTGGGACCGTCATGGAATTAGGGTATCTGTGTTGCACTTCACGACCGACGGTTTTGTCCTTGTTTGGATTCACCAGGTAGCCTGAGCTTAGAACGGTGTTGCTCCTCCCAACACGGACACCTCGGTGCTAGGAAAAGCAACACCGAGACCCCTCCACTTCGGATACAGTCCTGGTAATCGAAATAAATGGCGTCTACTTCGATGTATACCAAGGCCTCAAGAGAGATTAACTCACAAGCTTACCACACGGTGGGTACTGCAAACCAGACTTTGAACTTTCCACCATCTTTTGTAAAGGACGACAACGGATCGCTAATGACTTAGCCGCTCTGTTCGACACTATTTGGCGCTAGGAGGAAATGCTTTCTGATTGGTCATTGTCAGCCATTTTAATAAAAGTCCAAGGAATTCCTGTAAAAGCGATCCTCATTAACTTTGTGGTAGAAATAATACGTCCACTTAACAAATCAGGTGCTTCTTTATCTTACTGGCTCTAAAGTTTAACGTTTGTGAACAACATTGTTCTTTGAATCGGACCAACCTGCTATGCAAGCGTTACTGAGTAGGTCGACTATTGGTAATGCAATATCTACTTTACGTCTTCAAATGTAAGGTACTGTAACAGGAACAGTGTTCATGATTATGGATGAGCCGCTCGAAATCGTCGATCGATATGCTTAGCGGTTGCATCGATGATTGTTACATCACAGAAATTCCCACTCGCATTGCTGGTTCCTATGGCATTTCATAGTCTCAATCACTTGTGGAGACGGTGGGATATAAACCTAGTGATTCTCGACCGAAAGGATTGTACACGCCTTGTGAAACCGAACGTATCCAACCCACGCGCGATATTTGGTGGTTACGCGGCAACGAGTCGTCGATACGATGTGCTGTTGACGCCTCTTTCTAGCCTAGTGATTAATGGGAAAGTCCTGTATGCCGCAGCGCAACTAGTGTTGCTCTACGTTTCCGAGACCTGGCAGCTATATGCTGGGGACATTGAGGAGACTGTTACCACCGGCGCGTGCGCATTGTTAATCATGAATGGTGGGAGAACCTAATGGGTAGCGCTGCAGTCCGTCGTCCAGCGATTGGCGGTTAACCTCATTGGAGTTCCTGTTGAACTCGAATCACCTTTGTTGACTCGGTCATGTGCTCCGCTTGCCAGCGGGACCGATGCGTCGTTTACGGACGCCGCGCTGTGGCATGGTAGATTAGCATGAAGGAACCCGCTGAAAAGTTGAGTATGTTTAACATCTGTCGCCTTGCTGGATGCTGATCACATCATCATCATTACACATGGTGATCTCAGTATCTGCCACATCAGTTGTGCATGACTATTCCGGACTCAGCTTCCATGATTTTGAGTGCCTCATTGTCTATTCTGTTATCCGATACGCACAGATATATATATATATATATATATATATATATATATATGCATAGAAAACAACTGACTGCCTTCCTCAACGGGAGTCTCATGCTCAGCCACACTACTCTGTCCGCTTACTCTTACGTCATCCGATTTTATTCCCTCATCCTCGGAACGTCATCTTGACGATGCATTTTAAGTCACCTAGATCGGTTTTCGGATTATGGTTGATATGTGCAGTTTTGCTCCACTCATTCATCGTTGGTTTCACCGTGTTTACAGACCGATTTTATCTCTTCCAGTTGGTTGTAGTAGCGCTAGCCCTAATACGGATTGTCCACACCATGTTGTGACCTGTCTATGACGAATGCACTCCGATGTCACCGACCGCTAACAGTTTCGTATGGCGTCGTTCATGTACTCACTTCTTATCACGCGATCCATTTGTAATTCAATTCGAGTCGCTCTTACCCTATTGGGACTGTTAGAATATTGTTGATTTAAATTTGTCAAGCATCTCATGAATCTGCGAAGTCATTTCCATCCCTACACGACAAACGACTGCATTGACGAGTATCTCTCATAGATGGTTGGTGATGTGGTTTCTGTTTCTTTACGTTGTTCGCACGACTATTTAACGAAGAAGCACTTCCGTTTGCCTTATGGTCAACCACATTTTGTACCAATTTGTAGCATGTCATCAACTATGACCTGCCATCGGACATCGAAGAGTACGTTCATCGTATCGGTAGAACAGGCCGTGTTGGAAATCTAGGCATCGCTACCTCGTTTTTCAATGACAAAAACCGAAACCTTGCGCGAGGATTAGTGGAATTGCTGGAGGAGGTCAATCAAACAGTGCCGTCTTGGTTAAAGGCCCTTGTTACGGATAACCGGCAGACGTCATTTCAGCGACCACGCAACAACCGGAGGTAACTCACTTGCTTGCCTTTGTCAATCCCGCTTCAATATTTTCATAGCTTTTACTTTCGCCTTGCTTTTTTAGTCCACATTATGAGATAAATCCTAGCGGGTTGTCTCTTGCCCTTCCTTATGGCTGGCGTATGAATGTACTCTGTGTATTTCGTTATTCCTGCTTACTGGTGCATTGTCCATAATCTGGTTGTTTCTTCAGAGGCGGAGGGTTTGGCGCGAAGGATTATCGGCAGTCCACGGGACGTGGTGGCTCAAGTGGTTATGGGACTGGTGCCCCCCCAAGCCGTTTCGGTGGCGGGTTGTCGCGCGAGTATGGTTTCCGAGATGATGCTGCTTGCTACGACAACGGAACAACGGTACCCTCGGGAGGAAAGGATTGGTGGGGATCATAAAGCACCGCACACTGCGTTTCAGAGCACTCATTCATATCTTAAAAATGACGATTGTTTGCGATTAATTTGCACGTTTTTGTAATTAGGCTTAAGATTTTCGGTTATTTCTACTTGCCCACTGGATCTGCACGGGACTTGTTTTGCGCATTTTGCTTGGTCGTGAGCAGAAACATTATGACTGTGTGCTTTAAAGACGAGAGTTCCTCACTTTCACATTTTAACTCGCGCTGCATTTATCTCTGGTCAAGATTTTTGGATCGCGCCCGAGATTGGTGCCAGGCATGTGAGCTCGCTTATTCGCACATTCAGTGATTGCAAAATAGTAATAAATAGATCGCGGAATGAATTCTTTGTTTTATTGAAAAGCTGTTCATGTAAAAAACTGTTCCGTTTCTTTTCTTATGCGTGGTACTTGGAAGTAAATGCCGGGATTGAGAATTTTCTTTTGCAGCCATCGTATGTCATGCACCGAATCTTCCCGAATACTGGGCGTTCAGCCCAGCCCTGATCATGGACACCGCAGATCGACCACATGACACCTAGGAAATGGAAATACATATGCGAAGAAGCTTGGGTCTTGTACTTATGTTAAATGAAGACATTTGTGTAATGTACAGAGAAACTCACCCACGAAACCATTTGGGTCGGTGCCGTCTAAACTGTAACGATCGTTGAGATATAGCGCCAGCTGGAGCGCTGCATCTGGGCCATCTTTGTGCCATTCCAGTATTTTCTTCGCCCAATACATCCGAAGAAATCCGTGAAGTTTGCCGTGTCCAGCTAACTGACGCTGACAAGCGTTCCACAAATCGTCCTTTGTTTTGGCGTCTTCGAACTGTGGTCCCGAGTAGGCCGGGTCGCGTTTATCATTTGCGTGGATCCGAAGGGTAGTTTTCGCCCAATCCCATGCGCCTGTGCAGGAGTATGACGTAAAACTTTTTAAGGACGAGTCGGTAAGTGATAAGTGTATGAAGATAAAGATTAGGCAGATCGATGATTTTCCGGTAGCTCGTAACACTCCTGGTCGCGCGAGAACATCCGGGCAATGGTTCCTGTTAGTTGCTTTGTAGCCCCGTATTACTCCTGTTTTTGCCTAATCGCCCACCGTTGGATGTCGCCGACGCACCAGTATGTTAACTAGAACTATGTCGCAAACCAGTTCAAATATGTAGCCAGTTAGCTCAATTGATACGACACTAGAGAGCATACAATATGGTATGTTATCAGTTTTTGGACAGTCAAAAAATCTTTGATAGAATTAAAGAAGTAATGGGTGACCGCGTCCTGAACAGTCCTTTGAGGTTTACTACTCATCAGATTACAATGTGTACCACAAAGTACGTGCAAAGACGACCTTCTATTGAATCGTAAAGTGAATTGTAGAAGCAGAAATTATCTGCTAATTCTCTTCTCACGAAAGCTTCTTCAATAAAAGCGTCAGCGGAAGCGGGGTGTCGATTACGAACGTTGCGCACTTCCATTAGGGCTCTTTGTGGGGCAATTTGTCCTGGAAGAAATGGAAAGAGTAAACAATCCGTTATATCGCCATTGGGCACAAAAAGCGAGGTGCATAGTATGTACTACGAAGCTAGACTCGTGCAATTTACTTGTGCCGTTTGGTGCTTTCGTGTGACTGACAACCTAAGATGACGTGCGATCGTGTATCGTTGACAATATTATTAATATGAAAACGACCAGCTCGATTGCGATGAGCATCTAAAAGGAGTTTTGGAAGTGCTGGTGATTTACCCCTTAGGAGTTAAAGAGGAACGTGATAAATGGTCTGCATTGAGTCGACATCTTTCCATTACTAGGAACCAACGTCCTCCCTCAATGCTGATGTTGTATTTTGCGGGAGCTGGCGAGCTGAACATTCTTACCGAAGTGGAACCAAGGTGACAAGTCACTCAGTGCAACCTTGTTGGGATCATTTCGACCTTCTTCATAGGAGCGCAGCCGTTTGTCGATGAAGGTAAATAGTACCCTCATACCAGCCTCCGTTCCGCCCTTGGCCCACGTAACAGGTGGGACCCGACGGTCGACGTTGTGGATGGACTTCAACTTCTCCCAGTCGATTTTCTGTAGAAAAAGTACAGAGTAACAGGAAATTGTATGACGAGATATACGCTTGAAATAAAAGCCGACCTGGACTCACGCACGCTGTGCAGAGGTGTGCAGTTTGCATCAGACGAAACGGTACAGACCGTCAAGTCAGGACAAAAATTATTCCGCTAATTCGCATTCAAGATGTATGGCATTCTTCCAGCCATTGGGAATGTGTGTCGCCAATTGTTCTTATGTCATTTCATCATTCAGCCCTGAAGTCACCATTCAAGGAATGTGTTCGATTTCGTACTAAAGTGAAATCGCCGAATGGACAACTGCTTCCGCCATCGCGGGCTGCGTTGTCTTGGCTCCAACCATGTTTGTGCACAGGTGCCTTTTCTACGCGTAACCATCTTCACCACATGACGTAATCTCCCTAGGTATTCTTAGGGATAACATTATCCGAAGCAAATACATTCGGGTTCGGAAACCGTGAGCGCTGTTAAAGTATAACTTTAACACTGATATTGATTTCGGCTATGTAATACAATCAATAGTTGCGCGGGTCTCCTCAGAATGTTGGGTGCACTGTTCAGCAGTGTGGTGAGGTGGTCCGTTTATCTGCATTAGTTTCACTTTCCAAACCACTGGTCCTATTCGCTTTTTTCCCTTGGATCAACAACTCGCTGGCTGTTCTGTCGAATTCCTATCGACTGGATGACCGCGTGGAAACTTTTGGTATTTTCTCCGTGTCATTGAATGCACTTAAGAATGCTGAATTGGGGTAGTTCAGCCGCCGGTTACTTGCATTAGATGTGTGCGATCTCCTTTTCGCCTCATGCCCCCTGTCTTGCATCAATCCGACAAAACTAGCTGTCTTCCAAGAGAGTATTGGCATCTACACTCGATAAGGCGTGATTCGCAAGTGGTATAGACAACCATACCAGGATCTCGCGGTCAAATTAGTGATATAAACTAGGACAGTTGTAACACGAGAGCTTGCGCGCTGATCACATGGCGGCCGCATCTCAATTATAATATCAAGCACCGAGTGACCGACAACATTTTTCGAACAGTTACTCCTAAATTTGAATTATTCCGTACTTTTTCGACGCGCCCTGTGTGGAGTTTAGTTTGCACATCCACTCGGCACTTGCTCTTTTTGTATTCGCTTTGGTCAGCTAGAAAACAATACTGCATACACATAAGCGCTAAAAGGCATATGAGATCTCACTTCTGTGTCATTGTTTTCGTTGCGGTATGGATGAGAAACCAGCGGAGGAAATTCGGTCCATAGTTCTTTCGCCTTATCATGTAGCTTTCGTCGAATCGTCCGGGCTGCATATTCAAGCTTGTCCGATGCGTACCATACAGGAACCACATTGTGGGCGTCCACCTGAAACGAAGGAGTAAAGTGAGCGCAAGGATAATGAGGAACAAAAACAGGTCCCTCTAAAGCACTGGTGCGCGGAGAATGGCCACCGGGTGATGATCGCTGCACCATGTGGCTGCAATTATCTCCCGAAGTTCGTTTCACTGGTTGATAATGACGACAATCTGTGTTGTCCCCAAAATTTGCATTGACTATGTGGTTTTCTCGTCTCGCTGCGACTGACTTGATTCAGCTGGCGTAGCCGTGTTAAACCAGTGTTGCTCAATCATTAACTAGTGGAATAGAACAAAATATGCAAACGTCTGATCTTACTCAAATAAACGGTTCTCTATAATCTTGTGGCTCAAGTACCTGGTTCACAGTCTGTGTCCCGTAATGACTAGGTGGGGGATACAAGCCGCATTGTGGACGCAAACACCCAGGGCCGCCCACTATTCGTCGAGGTCTTTTCGAGTCATGACTGGAACGCTCATCAGTGGTTTCAACCGATCTACGTGTGGAAGTCACATCTGAGCTCGGAAATTATTGTCACTAAGGACACACGGGTATTTCTTATTTGTTTTCACTTCAAACAGAATAAACCAAACCATTTCATCTTGAAAGTCGTAGATTTGCATTAATTGTGTCATTCTTATCGCTACGCAGTGCGTTGAGTTGCGAGTTGTGCCATCGAAGCTTGCCATCCTTTTTTATGATGGTCTGTAATACATATCGTAGTGCCTCATGCTGAGGTTGACGTTGCATTCATGATGTTACTTCACCGCAGTTGCGCTAAGCCAACTTACACATAAATTAGATCTTCCTAATCTGGATAAAAGTATTTCCACTTTATTTGCCTTGATCAGTTCTGTTATTCTGCTACATCTTCGGTGTCAATTATGCGTGTTTGCTTTCCGTCAAATTCCGTGTTGGTTGTTTGATATCCCAGTGTCGCTGCGCCTCATTTGAATGTTGACAAAGTGCTTACTTGTCTAACACTCTACCTCGATTACTGGCTCTGGGAGACTTATTCGTTGCTGGAAGGACGGGGTGCACGGTCCTCGTGGCCGTGCTAGGCTCAAAGAGTGCGTCCATCCAGTACGGAGCGGACTACGACCCAGCCATCGTTTTGTACGCATGATTTCTTACATATATAGAGAGGAATGCTGCTGTTGAAGGAGTGTGGGCCGGCTCCGTCGATGAAACCCGCCTCCCGGTCTTATTCTTTCATGTTTACACTGGATATGGGGTGTGTGGATAGAGCTGTGAGTGATGTAGCGCAAGCCGCCGATAATCCCTCTGCAGGCGCAATTGACCTGTGTCTGTCCTATGGAGGTCGCAGTGACAGGCAAATCCGGAACCGAATGCAGCCAACCATTGCATATGGTAGTTCAGGTAGACCTGAGCTAGCTTATCAGAAAAAAGCCTCTTTCGGTGTGAACAGCGCCGCTGTTTAATCCTACATCATTTGGCATTACACATTCGGTCCAGTTGTTGTGCCAGTTGAGTTTGACAATGCGTTAACTTTCAACCAAGTACAGCTGAATCGCCAGTGGTCCTTAAGTCGAAGGCCACCGTCGATTCAGGTTATTGTGTCATGATACCGAAGGATGTTCCAGTGAAAATCATTTTTCCTGACACGCGAGCGGCCATTCCCGAGGTCGTGTAAGCGCTTATAGAAAGCTGTCTCCTGAATTCCGCGTCACAAATGAAGGTTACAAACGCTGCCTTCTAACTGTGACCGATATAATCGCAAGTGGTTTTGCCTTCTCCCTTGCAATAGAAACTCTATCAGGTGATAGGCCGCAAAACTGAGAGTACCTGGCTGTGATCCTTCTTAGAGTCGGACGCAGCCTCTGTGCAAGCGCTACTGCGTAGACTGTCGTAGAGCGCTGTATGCTTCGGCATGCACTGCGGATCCAAATTTGAAGGCTTTTGTAGGGCTGTGCTGAGACGCCACTACACCTTTCCTCAATTCGTTGCATCGTTCCCTCAAGTGTTTGCATTGGTCACGCCTGGAGCTGTATCGCGTGCGTCATGTGACAGGTTGCACGTGTTCTCGACGTGTGATCACGTGATCGTCTTGCCACCATGAGTATGGCTCATACGGTTGCACAAATGCAACGTGTCACATGACGCACGCGATGCAGCTTCAAGCGTGACCGATACATTTGATGGAACGATGCGAATTGAGGTTAGGTCTACCCAACACCAGATAACCACGAAATGGTCACATGGATCACATCTCGAAGCAGCAAGGCCCATGCACTACTGCTAATTGTTAACATCATCATCGTCATACACGTTAGCTAGAGGTGGGGAACACCTCAGCTACTGTGCCGCAGTATTGCGTGGGCAGGATACTGTCAGGTTGCCCAGGCCTAGACAGGGCTAATTGTTAACACGTAGCAAGTGGACGACCCATCGCATTTCGGTTGTCTTAGGTGAACAGCACGCACATACAAACGGTTCCGCCCTTCGTCCACGTAACAGGTGGGACTCGACGGTGGACGTCATGGACAGACACACTGTTTGTTAGACAATACGCAACAGAACTGAATCAGCTCCAGCAAGTGTATTTTAAGTATTGATGCATCGCTGGGAGAATAATGCGAAGACCGTTAGGATTACTGAAAGATGCTTCAAAACTGCAACTCGTGGGTCCGCAACCTTGTCTCACCGGTCATTTGAAGGAGCGTACCAACTGGGAGGGGCGATTCTCATTCCTCGCTTGATGGGAAAGACTAAATTTAGGTGGCAATCACAGTAATGGGGTTGTCCGGTGTGGCTTCACGAACCCAAATTGGAGAGCCTACAGTCGACTACCGCTGTCTGTGAAGCGATTGCTTCACTGCTGTGCGAGTAGCTGACACCCAGTGTACATCTTGCCGTATGCTCTGTGGAAGTAAATTAGTCACAATTCATTGGATAGCGTACAATTCCAACGAGGTGCTGAGAGAGTAACCGCATACAACACCCCTCGCTAGCTTTTCAACGCCAGATAAAACTACGTAGAACACAAATCATTGGGTCGAAAGGGTCAGATGCATCGAGCGCGCAGTACAAATAGCGGGTTCATATGACCAATTAGTACGGACCATTGTGAACTTGTAATGTTATCAATTGTGCAATTTGGCTTCTATGCTTTCCAGTAAACTGTAGGTGTCTTTGTAAATTAACAATCACCTAACTAGTAGTAGTAGTACAGTCAGAAGTCTGACAAATACACATAGAACCAAACATAACCATGGAAATCACTAAAAATAAAGCCAGGTTGAACACCGTATCAGCATTATGGCACATTAACTGAGGGTGAGCAACACACTTCAGCTATTGTGCCGCAATAGAAAAAACAATGGAGCATATTTTTATCATTTTGCACATACCATTTTTTGTCGTTTTTATTCCTTAAGCATTAAGTATCCAACTCTAAGCAGTTATATACACAGATCCTCCATTGGTTTCGATTACGAGTCACATCCCGAAATGTTCCCAGCCATCGGCATTTCTTCCATTTTGGTCCCCAACCAGGGAGACATGTGGATCCGATGGCGGCAAAACGTGAAGTCAACGATTTCATTCGATGTCGTCAGGTGAATGGTGGACCACCACCAGTTGCGTCCAGCACCAGAAATCAGAGCTTGAAGCCAAAAGCTCTGCTGACATACGCAGAACATGACCGAGCCAAATCACCTACCTAGTTACATTCCAACTACTTTCATATAACCACAGCGCGTTCATTGTACCAACCGTGTTGAGTGTGGCTGAAATGCCACACGAGATCGCGTTCTACAGTACATGATACGGCGATTTCTCCAACGGACCAGACTACAGGATCTAGATTGTTATGGACGCGTTCGCTTAGGGGAACTTGACAATCAGTAATACACAGGGTAAGTGTTGTGGCGCTTCCATGCTAACGGGTAGAAAGGATCAAAACGGTGACATATGAAATCTGTGCCGCAAAAAACGACTCATAGAATATTGCATAGCATTTGTCGGGTCCAATATTTTTCAGCTGCGCCAATTTGCAAAAGCGCGTGGGAGGAAGGACTGTGATGTCATGTTCACTGGAAAGGACCAGATATGAAGGCTGAACATGTGTATGAATCAATGACTTACTACTCAACTCACCTGGCAAACGGGCACGTTTTGTGGCACACACTTCGTAAGAGCGTCCACCCAGGCGGTAGGCTCACGTAACGGACACACATCGGTAAGGACACATCCGATATTCAGTTTTTGAACTAAGTCACATACAGCTTGGGAGGTAGCGCACGCAAAAAGTTCCCCTCCCTCAACGCTTTCCGAGTATTTCCTCTTCATTCCGACTCCACAGGAAGGGAGACTGTGCGGTTTGATCGTCAACAGGTGAAACTGGATGTGCAGTTCCCGACATTCCTGGTAGGACAGAAACAAAATTCAGAGCAATGCATAACTCCACAGAAGAGAAAAGCACCACGTACAACGGCCCTGTATTTGGATTTTGCGTTTGGCTATGCAACATAAAATGTATTGGTACGCACCGAAATACCAGAAAGCCGCTCTCATGCAGCTACAAAGCCCATGAGCAGGCGCAATGATCCATCAATCAGATGACAGGAATGAGCACTGACACTACACAGGCCAGTTGCTAATGACCTGAAGCCTGCCCCCGATGTCACGACTCCTGAACAATGCAGTTTTGTACAACCGATCCCCTTCAGAAATATTAACAGCTAGAACAAACAGCATTTTGAGGGTATTCTGAGTTCAGTTCGTGTATTCGCAATCAGCCGCTTACATACTTGGAGTAACATGGGATCGCGAGGTCATTTAAGTGGATGCTGTGGCGATCGAGGACATGTCTTCCAGCGACCGGACCTACGCCTTATCAAGACAAGAATAGGCCGGCGACGAAGGCGTAGGTTGGGCTTCAGCAGCTGGATGGCGCATGTCTCAGAGTATTTTGTCTACTGATGGCCTTAAAAGATTCACATACAATGCAATGGAGCAGATGCCAACAATCGAACTGCTCATCGCTAAGCATCGCGTAATATGTTCTACAGTCTTAGTCCATAGCCTTCACTCTGTCCGGTCAACGTACTTGCTACGGCAGGCACACGTAAGTTGGCGAACACAGAAGGCGGTGACTTGAGGAAATGCAGAAGCAGCAACAAATTCCTGGTTTGGCGCGGTGGCACTAGCTCATTTGCATAACAGCCCCCCTTGTGAAATGGCGTAACTAACGTTCCCGTATGAAAGGTTAATCGGATCACAACTGACGCGAATGGGTCGTTAGACAATGTGCATAGCGAAACACTCCACTGAAGAATAGGTTGTGGATAGCTCAGCAAAAACAAGTTAAGAAGTGCTACACTTACACTGTTCAGAGTAATCCGGTTGTCTGTACACCAGAATGTCGGTTAATGCAGGTTTGTGTCTTTTTACTCGATAATGCTACATGCCAAGAGTGAGAGCATATGATTATTATGTCACAGAACAAGGCACGACGATGTCAACTATCCACAAAATGAGAGTAAAACATTCTTGTTGGTAAATGCCACAACCAGGGTTGCAAATTCGGGGTAGTAACGAGCAAGTTTTGGCATTCTGAAGTGCAGCCTGCACCTGCTGCGAAAACGCCACGTAGAAAATCTTTGTTTACGTGAAGCAGCGCCTGAAGCCTGCAGACGGCCCATCAGTGAAAGGGGGCTAGGGCGGACAGTCCTTAATTTCCAGTGCTGAGCGTGCGCTCTCATTGGCGCGTACTTCACTTCCGCTTCTGCACCGCGTTCAACGTGTACCGACCCTACCGAACTCGACAGTCTGGATGCATTGTTGGAGAGTTGCCTCAACTACCTTGATCGCATCAATCCCGAATGGCTTTATCCACCGGTCTTTCAGACCTCTACCACGGACGACCTACTCAACGGGTAACTATCCTAAGGTACATTGTCAAGGCCATTGTAGCGAGACTGGACCTTAGTGTGATGCGATGGTTTGCGTATCCCCGTGACCCATTGAGCTATGCTGGGTGGGTCGACAATATTTCCTCTTCTTCTCTCCCCTCTCTTCCTCCCCGTCTATTGAGCAAGAGACTGACGCTGACCTCGCAGCTGTTGCCATCGACACATGTAGCTCTTCCATCAAGCCTACGGTTTTATATCACACTGATTATTTTAACGTCCGCACTCTAGATCAGATCGGCCAGCAGGCAGCACTGATTCTCACTCCTCACTTAGTATTGATGCGTGTTGTGTCTAATAATAATAGTGTGTCAACTGTATGCCGTAACGGCGCTACACTGATTCGCGATTAGTCGCGCGCGGGCTGAGTATACCTCGAGGACGCTCACCCCTACGCGGATTTGGACCGGTGACCTTATGGTTGTAAATCAGGCGCACAGACCACTCGGCCACCGGCTGTCTCCCAAACACGCATATAAGGTAACAGCGTTATGACGAATCTTTGACTCCCTAGTTCTGAATCTGACAATGACTACACTCTTCGTGTCTCTGGTGATATCGAGTAAATGCTTCAAGGTTTTGACGATGTAGTTATCGCCATCAGCAGACGTGCTGAAGGTAATCCGACCGACTGCATACCGGTGAATAGCTGAACGTGTGCGGTTCGATTTCGAATCTCTATCGGGGTTAATAATCAGCATCTGAAGACAAGGTGCCTTTTCATCGCCCTAGTTTATGCACCTCCTAAATGCAGCTCAGAGGGTATCAAGGACGATATTCAACAACAGCTCTGATCTCCTCTTCGCATGGTGAAGAATACTGTTGACATTAATGCCCAAGTGGGTCGGCTTTCGGAATATGAATACCATCTGGGAGGTCGCTTCGGAGTGGATGCACGCCGGACAGACAATGGTGATCGATTCCTGTAACTGTGGGCTGACCACAATCTCTATATTAGTAGCACCACTTACCAGCGCGAACGTTCACATTGCGTCAGTTGGCGCCCACTGAATTCCTCAATAACCCGGATACAAATTTACCACATTGCCATATTGCCACGTGCCTGGGATTCTGACTATGATCTAGTGCGCGCACACTTGACGCTCACTCTTTCCGCTTCAAAGAACCGCCCACCTTCGAGCCTTCTTACCTATAACTTGCAATCTGCCGTTCAGCAATATCATAACGAACTGGCCCAACAATTGTCAGTGATGCATGAGGTTCGTAAACCGATTGCTGATTGGGATCGTCACAGATATGCCATGAAGAATACTTCTGATACATGTTGTGCACCCAATCTGGAACGTCATAACTGTGAATGGATCTCTGAAACATCGATGAGCATGATCGAAGCAAGGAAGCAGGCTTCGATGTGCACCCTGAAACGACGTCTTACAAGGAGTCTTGAGATGGACCAGGAACGTTGGTGGATTGCAGACCCGTGGGATGGAGAAGCCAGTGCTAATGGAAACAGCCCAGTGCTATTCCAGCTCACCTGGAACACGAGTCCGAGAAAGCCATCAGGTAGTGAGACAACAGCTGAGAACGATGGACAGTTGGTCCATTTTCAGCGTCGTCGACTAGTCCCTTGGGTGGAACATTTTGAAGAGCAGTCCAGCAGGCCGTCTGCGACAATACCGCTTGCCGAATCGCCTGAGCAGACGTAGGAAGTAGATGTCACACCTCTCACTGGAAGAGATTCGACATGAGCACACCGTGTTGAAACGAAACAAGACTCGTGGACTCGATAACTTTCCTCCATCTTTGCTGAAAGATGGTGGTGAATCTGTTGACTGGGCTTGCTGCTCTGTTTCATACGGTTTGTGACACTGAAGAAGTGTCTGCAGACTAGACTGTCATCCTCCTCTTAAAAAACGGTCAATGGACTGCGCGAAAATCATCGAGGCACTAGCCTTATTTTCGTTGCCTCTAAACTTTTCACTTGTATCATTCTCCGACGACTTATTGGTTCTCGTGAGAGCCGTATCATTGGAATCAAGACTGGATTCCGCCATAGTTGTGGTTGTATCGACCACATTTTACTCTTCGATAAGTGTCAGCGCAAAGACGCTTGAAGGCGATCGGCTATGATGGTTGATTTAAAAGCTATCTTCAACTCGGTTGTGGCACTATATATCTCTAATGAGCGTGCTAGCTAAACTCCTATTTATTTTAGTCTCCACGGTGAGTCCTGAGGCCAGGGGTCTACGGGAAGCTTTCTCCTGAGCTTCGCTATGGTATCCTTATTTCTCCTTTCCTCTTCAGCTTTGTGGTCGAAATGATCGTAAACTACTCAGTTCATTCAGGCTCTTCTGGGATGAAAATTCTGCCAGGTGACCTGACAAACCTGAAGTATGCGGACGATATAGTTCTTTTTGGGGTCTGATGCGGTGGCTATGTAAGCACTACTGTGTACACTGACGCATAGCGCCCTACGCTTCAGCATGTGCTTTGCACCATCAAGGTGCAAAGTACTCCTGCAAGACTGGATCGACACACCGGTTCTAGCTATCATCGAACAGCCACTGAAATCGATGGTTCACTGACCTTAGTAGCTGTCACCTTTTGTGATAAGGAAATTGCTTCACATATCAACGAGGTCCATATGGTTGTTTGGAGGCCAAGTCATCTTTGGAGACGGCGGGATACCAGCCTGTTAGTGAATGGTGGAGTGTATAACGCAGCGATAGGGCCGGTTTTATTGTATGCTCCAGACATAAAACGCGTGGGAGCACCGGTGCTTATGGAGCATTGCTCACATCTAGTGGAAAGACCGAATGAGCTTATTTTTTGTCAAGAAACCCTCCAGTGCTTCAATCCAATGTATGGTAAAGAAGCTCATGTCCACTGTATACTCGTCGAGCGGCTTCCTTGGTGTGCATTCTATGCCGTCGCTTCACGAAGTTAGGTGAAACGAGGTGATCAGACGTTGATGTGGCATAAAGACATGAAGAAATTGTATGGGAGACTTGCCCAGGCTGGTGTGTGCCATTTTCATGGCATTCTGCATTCCATTGCTTGTATCTAAAGATCAACGCACATTCCATCCCAATTAATTTGACGCACTCCTTGATTCGGTTTCTTTGTATTCCAGTTGTGTTCAAGCTTTTCATAACTTATTATTCTTGCGACTCGTGGCAAGTTCATCCACCGCACTGCGCATTTGCCTGCCATTGTGGCCAGCCACAGGATGCCTGCGCCTAAGAGGGACACAGCTCCAACCACACACCCCATATGCAGTGTAAACCCGAATGCAAGAATATAGCGAACACACACACACATATATATATATATATATCCTTGATAGATAATGGTAAGAGATGTCACTCCCATGTGTTCGCCATATTCTTGCCCTGATTTTGGTAGTTCAGATTGAAGTGTTAAATTGTTTTTTACTTTTCCAGGTATTGGATTAGAGAAATTGTCATGTACTTAAATAACGATCACAACATA